GAAGGAGCGAGACAGAGAGAAAGAGAGAGAGACCTGATGCATCAGATTGAATGAAGCCTATTTTATACTGAGGCCCTTTTCCACATTGAAACCTCTTTGCCAGCACATTGAAACCTCTTTGGCTTCTATTAAAGGTTTTGTGAATGAAACATGGTCAAGACTATCAGGAAGCTCTCACATTTTGTTGAGGCTTTAAACAGGATCCATTGGACCAGATCTCCACCCTAAAAATTACTTTTCCCCAATGTATTACAGTGCCAATTTTGAAGAAGGTAAAACCAAAATGTACTGGTAAATTATGAGAACACACACACACACACACACACACACACACACACACACACACCCTGCTAACCCTGCTGGAGCAGGTGATCAGACTAGAACAGATATCTCATCTTTCTCCTCCCTCCCTCCTTTATGTCTTTTTCTTTCTGTCCCTTCCTTCCATCCCCCCTTCTTTGTCTGTCCCTTTTTCTTTCTTTCCCTTTTCTCTTTCTTTTCTTTCTCTCTTTCTCTTTCTTTTCTCTCTCTCTTTCCCTCTCCCAGGCTCACCCCTTTAGATCAGGGGTCGCCAAACTTTTGGACCTCAGGGACCACCAAACTCATAATTTTAAATCCCAGAGACCACTAATATGAATTTTGACTGACGGTGGCTTTCTGGCGTTGGTGTGGGGGAGAGAGAGAGATCTGATCCAACCTCTTTCTCTCCCTCTCTCTCACACACACAGGCAGGGGTGTAATTTAGACCCCTGATCTAAAGTCAAAACTCCAAAAACAAGTTAAGTAGCTCTGGGGAGGCCAGTCATAAATTAGAACACTTGCTAAACAACCGGCCATTAAGCGAGGACCACTTGTATTTGGTTTGCCAGTCACCTGGCCATGCCCACCCAGTCATGTGACCAGCAAGCCACACTCTCAGATTAGGCCACACCCACAGAAATTTGAATCCCACCTCTGGGTGGGGGGCACCAAGGATGAATTTGTAGCACCAAGGGGGCGGTGGACTTAAAAAGTTTGGGAACCACTGATTTAAAAGATATCCCAGCACCCAGAAAGAAAGAGGATGTGGGAAATATTTCAGAAGAAATCATCCTATTTTTCTGGAAAGTAAAAGTAAGGGCAGGGAGAACCTACCCTTTTTACACTTGTTTTTAAACTTGTAAGATTCTGTTAATGTAATCTTACAATAAAGTAGTGTTAGTACCTAGGATTTTCTTGTCTGCCACAAAGGACTAACAGCAGAGATACTAGGATACAATTAGGATAAAGGTTGCTTTGACTTCCAGTGGAGGCACAGCACGGTAGACATGTCTACCTTGGAGAATGGAGATGACCACAGCAAAAACCAAAGAATCAGTGAATAGACTGGTTCCTCAGATCCTCACTGGACAACAAGATCACCCACCTGTACTTGGGGATTGTTAGGGATACACCCTAGCAGAATCTGCACAGCAGTCAGTCAGGCAGGCAGGCAAAATATGTGAGATAAACGTTTTTGTAGCTTACACTCAGTAAAAACAGATACACAGTGCTAATTAAATAGTTTATTCCGGTAAGAGTTATAGCATAGTCAAAACAGTCCATATATCATTCACTAGTCCAGTCCGTCCAGGGATTATTCAGTTGCAAATTCCAGTGTCGAAAAAGAGAGGTCAGTAAACTTACAAATATCAGTCCAGTAATATATCTCCTTGCAGTAGAGATATGAAGAACTCAAAAAACTCCTCTCTTCCTTCAGCAACTCAACAGTAGGGGAAACACGCAGTTAACAAACCATCAATCCATGCAATCCAGTAATTGTCAGCAATCAATCAGGTTCTCTTGCTCCCTCTTATGGTGGTTTCACACCGCACCCAAAATTACATGCTTTGCAGTTTTAAAGTGACACACACTTAAACTTACAATCATAGTTTATATATATTATTTTACCCAAACTACGTTAGGTAACCTATGTTATTCCTAACAGGGATGACTGCTCCACATAAGGAGACAGCAGGACATCAGTCTCCTGTGGGTGTGAGTACTGAGAGACAAAGAGATTAATCTTCAAATTCATAAGTGAGGAGGAGCTTTTTAAAGGCTACAGTGTTTGCTAATCTGTCTTCTAATCATTTTGGCAAATTCACTTATCTAACCATCTAAAAGCTATTAGAGAGCTTCAAAATGACAAGCTTGAAAACCTACCTGGTGAATGTATTTTCATTTCTAAATAAAATAAAATAATCTATAAATGTAAGAATTTTAAATAAATGGCAAAAAGCTAAATAAGATTTTGAACCAAGAAAATTATAAACAAATTCAGATAAACATACTATGGAACAGTGGTGGTCCATGAGAAAATTTTGGTGGTCTACAGAGAAACGTCACCCCCAGAGCACCCCACAAAGCAACTAATACAGGCTACACAGAAACACAAGGCTAAGCCACCCACAAGACCTGCGGGAACTTTCCCCATCCACTCACTACTTACCTGGCAAACTTGCCTGCTAAATTGCTATTTTTCCTTTTTTCTTTTCTGACCATCAGCTGTTCTGCTGAGCCAGGAGATTTAGATTAGCTAGAAAGCAGGAAATCGTTGGATTTCTTGCTTTCTAGCTAATCTTTAGATCTTCCTTCGTTAGGGCTGAAGCTTCTATTATTCAGTGCAAACTCAGGTAGCCAATGCAGAAAGATAGATCTCTGAGTGAATCTGTGATTCTGTGAGCAACTCAATCTGCCTGCCTGCTTTGCCTGATTTTTAGGTAAAAGTTGCTCTTTTTTTATAAAAAAACCAATATTTACATACATGGTGTGTTGTGAGTTAATTTTGTGAGTTTGATTGCTAGCAAATTTTATGTGACACACTCAGGTAGCCAATGGCAGGAAGATAGATCTCTAAGTGAATCTGTGATTCTGTGAGCAACTCAGTCTGCCTGCCCACTTTGCCTGATTTTGGGTAAAAGTTGCTCTTTTTTAAATACAAAATTCAATATTTACATAAATATTTATAATATTTATATACAAGCCATGCCCAGCCAGTCACATGACCACCAAGCCACACCCACAAATTAGGCCACGCCCATAGAACCAGTTGTTAAGAAATTTGAATCCCACCCCGCCTCTGTGTTTTTGAGTGTGTGTGTGTGAGACAGAGGGAGAGGGAGGGAGAAGGAGGGAGAGAGAGGTTAGATCAGATATCTCTCTCTCCCTCCCCCCCCCCCCCCCCTCTCTCTCCCACCAATGTCAGCAAGCTACTGTCAGTCAAAATTCATATATAGTGGTCCCAGGGATTTAAAATTATGAGTTTGGTGGCCCCTGAGATCCAAAAGGTTGGTGACCCCTGCTATAGAATATTGAAACTTTTACAACAAAATTATGGAAGTAAATAGCTTTTTCTGAAAACCAGAATTACTTTGTCTATTGTAATCATAAAACAAATTAGAAAGATTATAATTTAAATTGAACACTAAAAGGGATTAGAGATTCCAGGTAAAAAGAACAAAATAACTGCCTTTGGTTTTAATTAGGATCTCTAAAATGACACAAAGCATAACATTTGAAATATTAAAGATCCTTGAAGATGAGGCCAGAAAATAGTAGCCATAAGCAATGACAGATGTAAAACAAATCTGGCTTGATGCAGAAATAGTGGAATCCAGAACACTGGATTAACAAAACATGTGCATAATAAGCATAAATTTATGATGGTTGCCGCATCCCAGGGTCATATTATCACCATTTGCAATTTTCCCAACGACTTCCAAAAAGAAAATTCAATGGGAGAAACTGGATTCATTTAATGATCTATGATGATTTGCTTAATGATTGTGGCAAAAAAGGTAAAAGAAATGGTTGCAACTTATTTAACAACTACAATGCTTACTGGTGGAAGTTCCTGTCACAATTATGATTGTAAATTGAGGATTGCCTGTATATCAATTATGAGACCAATCTAGATATGTCAATGAAAGTAGAACCATCCTCTTAACAATCCCTTAAAGTCTTCTAGCTATTCTGTTGTGGTAATTTTATAGAAACCTTATTTGTAATGCTCCACACGAAGCAGAAACTAGAGAATGCATGTGGCCTATGAGCATTTTTTGAAAAGTCAATGAATTTGCTGCTTCTATCCCCAAAGAATGCTACCAAGAACTTTCAGCTCCTCCAGGGCTCACTACCACTGCTTGGCTTGCTACTATACAGCTGATTGACACATCAAGTATTTGCAGCCTGCTCGCTGGTATTAAATATTCATTGCACATTTTATCTTGCCTTATTTCCAGTGTATGATTTCCAGATAGTACTAGCTACCTGTTCATTTCAGTTTCGTCAAAAAAGGTTAACTCTCAATGAAAAAGTCCAGGATCTGATATTTGACATTCAAACAACTTTTTAGTCACCTTCAGTTTAGGAGGGAGCATAATTTTGTAGCTTTACACTATTTTCTTCTCATTCTATTAAGTTCCTTTCTACTAGAATTGATTACAACAGTCTTTTTTAGCAACTACAATTGGGACCAGTAGCACATTAAGTGAGGCAGTTGCTAAGTGAAACTACAACTGTCTTTATGATCTTACTTCGTTTTTTAGTTTATTAATTTGGTGCTGATTGAGCACTTAAGAAGCAAAGTTTGATCTACATACATCTTATAAACAAATTTTGGTCTCTACTGCTGTAATTAAAAATAACAGTCTCCTATAATAAATTTTATATGAACTTTCTTCTTTGTAAGTACTATGGTGTTATCCTTGCCTAACCCACCTCTATATTTTGTTCTTACAGAATGGTTGGGTTCGTGTATTACTTTGGTTGGATTTGACTTACTATGATATGGAAAACTACCAATTAGAAATATATAGTTTAACATTAAACATTAATCAGGTTTAGGCTGTGTTAAAGTGAAGGACAACCCATAATTTACAGACTGCAGTGCCTAAGGCAAAACTACAGAAGCACATTGTTTTTATTATCTCATAAGAATAGGACCATCGTAATATAGTTTGATTTGGCTTAGGTTTGAATACAGCCATTTGGTTTGCAATATAACGTATGTTTATGACATGATGTCTACCTACCATTTTCATCATTCCAAGGTAGCAATAGATTTGAAGTTGGTTTTCTTAGTCAAGATGATCTCCCTTTCTGGTTACAAAGGTCATTTTTGGTCTCAAGCGTGTCAGTTTAACCCCTTGTCCCAATTTCTATAGTAATAATAACACTGTTGACAATAAAAATCACTCCATATTTTAATTTATTGAACCAGTGGCCATATTCAGACTTTTTAAAAAATAGTTGAAATTAAATCCAATATAGAGTGCATTTCTTGTATTATATGATCAACTTCATTTAAAACAATAAAAAGGCACACCTGCTTTTTCAAGTCATCAGCATAGTAACAGAGCAATAGTGTAATCTTGTTGATGGTAAACTTTTAAGGGAAGGAGAGAATCAAATGAGGGAGAAGAAATGGTAAGGGAGGGCTTTAAAAACAGCTAGGGAAGATACTATTTATCTTACACCTTCTTTAGTCAGGATTCTTCTTTGATACCAGTCTAGATGGTGTACTAACTAGGCTGCTTTGAGGGCTTTCTATGGGCTTTTGTGCATGCATGCAGAGGTCCTTCTGTGAATACTTTTGGGTGAAGTGAAGTGGTCCATCTCAGGCACTGAGGCAGAAGCAACTAGGCCGTGCCTTAAAACAAATGGTTCTTTCCATTTACTTTGATGTGGTTTCATAAGATAGCACCATTTTGCGCAAGTCTAGAGTTGAGACCTTATGTTTATGAAAGATGGTACAAAGATTTTGATATGAGTATTCTACTAAAATCTGTATATGTTGGGACTATTTCTAAACTTCTATGTAAGTTGGCTTTTCCCCTGTAAGATCAAAAATGAGTCAGACTTTCTTTCTACTCCTCCACACCATTTTCTCTTTTTGATGATGGAAATTTCTGTTCATTATATTAGCTCAAAAGGGGATAGATGGAGGGACAGCAGAAGAGTGTTTATGTACACACAAACACACACACACACACACGTGTGTGTGTGTGCGCGCGTGTAAAATGTGGGAGGAATAATCAACAGATCTTTAAGATTTCTGCTTCTATTGTTGACAAGTCTTTGGGTAGGTTGAAAAGGTCAAAAGTCATAGCTGGATTGCCTGAGATTCTAAATTCCACTCGTGTTTTTACTTGGTATAGTTAGTAGATGGTTTGAATGTAGCAAGTATGATTAAAAACAAGTAACACATTTGTTGACTGAAGATAAAACACTTCAAAACCTAGAGGGGCACAGATATTGCACTGTGACAAATGTCATATTTAAAGAGTTTTTTGTTCATAATAAAAAAAACAATTTCATTAAAGCTTGTAAGTATTCATTCTGCCATGCAGAAGTTACAGTAGAAAATGCAGTTCATTGAGTGTTCCAGTGTCTTTAGAAGTCAAGAGCTCCATCCAGAAATCGTCTATCATAAGTGAGCAACCGGTCTGTTAGCCTGTGGTGATGAGAAAAACCCACAATTCAGATTAGGATTTCTCTAGTTAAGTTCTTCAATTTGCCTTGTAAATAAAGGCACACATAGGTAAGAAGATAGCATTTCACTCTTAATCAGCCTGTGATATTTTTTTTTAAATTAGATGGTAATAGACCTCAATAAGCAAATTATATCATTTGGCAATAAACAAAGCTAAATCCCTCACCACTCATCCTCAGTATTATAGGGAGAATTATTAAACTGCTAGCATTTTGTAATATTTTAATCTTGATGATTTTAAGTTTTTAAGTTTGCTGCAAACATTAAGGCATCAGGCTAAAAACTATGAACACATGAGTTGTAGTCCTGCTTTAGGCACAAAGCCAGCTAGGTGACCTTGGCCAGTCATTTTCTCTCAGCCTGAGGAAGAAGATAATGGTAAACCACTTCCAAAAACCTTGCCAAGGAAACTTCAGGGACTTGTTCAGGCAGACTTCAAGAATCACACACAATTGACCAGAAGGATAAAAAAGTCACTTCATGATTTTGAGTTGGACCTAGAAACATCTGAACTAGGTGTAACTGCATCTTGTTTCAGTAACTATAGCAGAAACTATTAGTCTCATTGATTACAAGTTGTGTAATATGTAGGCATGCAGTTCTATAATTCTTTCATAAAGTATTGTATGTTCATTTCAGAGAACTAGACTAATTTTCCTCAAGAAGTAATGCCAGTGAGGGCTCTTTGTTGGGGAATTACATTAATTCTTTCTATAAAAAGGCATGGGAAAGGAATGGTGATGCATTGGGAGAGGCTGAGTGAGGTTTTGTGTCAAGTACATTGGAAAATGAATATGGTCCACAAATAATAACTGGGAAAGAGATGTAGATGATAAAGACTGGCTAAAATATTCCGACCCAGATATCTGATGGTGCTTGAGTAAATTATCGTGGCATATATCCTTATCATGTTGAAATATTGGATGATACAGATGTGTGGCCTATGTGGCTGATGCTATAACCTCTGACACCCACCTCTGGCATCCCGGCTTAGCAGGGAACAATGATGAGGTTAGATAGAAGGCTAGAGCATAAGTGGAGATAACAAAGAACATACTACTTGAGCTTATCTTAAGACGCAGGTGAAATCTAAAGAATGTCTACAAATTTCAGTAGGCATAATTGCTGCAGCCAGGCTGATAACTGTTATAGACTATATGGATCACATGATAACTGTGCAGAAATACTTTCATTGGCTGTCAATTGCATATAACGTATCTTTTTCACTAAATGTTTGATTCTTTTCATTTTACTTTTAAGTTTTAAATCTTGCATTTTTGTTTTAAAAGTTGTACGCTCTTATAACCATTGCTTATAGAAGCAGAAATTACATTTTTAAAAAATGCATTGCCTATCTTGTGGCTACTTAAAAAAAAAACCAAATTGCTGGATGAGCTCATAGCACCAGCTGATTCACAAACTAGCCAATTGCAATTTAGTCTAAAATGTTCTGCAAATCCAGCCAGTATGGCTAATTTGAGATTTGATGTACTATCCAAGATTTCTTTGGCAGAAATATTGTTGTTAAAAAAGGCAAAAGATTTACTCTGCAGCGGAGAACCACAGGCTAAGGGAGTTTGAGAAAAGAAAGTTATAAAAGTAAGGGACACTACCAACCATATTTTTAGAAGGAAGATTAGGCTACATTGCATTTTTATTCTATTAAAAAGATCTGTACATCTTAGGTTAATTAGTGCCTCGTGTTTTCTTAGTCTTTGAAAAAAACCAGCATATTAAAAAGGCTATCTGTTTTTCATTATATATTTTCACTAATGTTATACAGACTTAGATATCTGTATATACAGTGTTATGTAAAAAAAAAGTAGTACTAAGGGAAGTTCCTAATTTAATGTACACATTTCTGGATGTTTCCTGACATACTTTACTATGAAAATAGCTATTAAGGAAAAATTAATTTACCTGGACATTAAATATGTTTGGATTTGTGTCTAAAAGGCAATTAAACCTTTCAAAATTTTAAAGATCAGTATCAGCATCTTACATTGGGTTTGATATGCAATATATAAATTTAACTTTGAAGAAGGATAGAAAAAACATTGGTGTTAAAGAAGATACATGGAAATACTACGGATAGCCAAGAAACTTAATACCTAGAACATCAAACAAGTCAACCCAGAGTTCTCACTAGTCATACCAGGATCAAATTATTGTACTTCAGATATATTTAAGGATATGAAGACATCTAAAGTTGGGAAAAGTGGAAGGAAAGAGAGGAAGAGGGCAACCAGTTCAAAGTTGATGGACTCAGTTACAGTGATGATGGGTAAACCATTGGAACACTACAAAGACTAGGGTGGAATAAATGCTCCTGGAGAAACTCTATGTGAGCACTAAGAAGCAATGCCAACTTCAAGGCATGTAATCATCAAATCAATAGAGCAAAAGCAATAGCACTTAGACTTATATACTGCTTTATAGTACTTTATAGCCTTCTTTAAGTGGTTTACAGAGTCAGCATATTGCCCCCAACAATACAAATACAAATATTTAATATATAAATTCATATAGTGAAATAATTATGTTTACAATATGGCATTTTAGTTCAGTAAAATTATTTTGATTCAAAACTTTACTTTCAAAATGTGGCAAAACCCAATCTATGATTGGTGAGGTACAAGGGAATACTTTAAATTATGCAAGTACACACTGTTTTCAGACCATGTATTAATGTAGAAATGATTTTAAAAATGCATTCCATGGCTGTTAAATTGAGAAATGCATTTCATAGTAATTTTTTACATGGAATAGATAACTTTTATCTTTAATGAAAATCTAGTTTATTGAAGTGCTCCAGAGGTATGAATCAGCAAAAAGAAATATAAATGAACACCTCATGACTTTATAGATGGCATTTTGTTTGCATGACATGTTATATTAAAAAAGTCCTGTCAATAAATTGATACATTATGCTTTAACAACCCCCTGCCTGCTTTATAAATGACAATTCAATCAATTTATTATGGTTATCCAAACAAAGTGAAATCAGAATTTGTAACAAATATTAGTTGGTTTAAATTTAATTTTCTATTCAAATAGCAGCTTTTGTTGATTTTAAAGATACAGCCAAAACCCTAACAGTAAAGAGCTGCATGCCATGGTAAGTAAAATGATGATAGGTATATATCCTTACTAAATGGTGTAGCATGCAATACAGTCCAAAGCAAACTGTGGTGTCATCACCATGCAGATAACAGTGCCATGGTGCAAAGTATTGACTCAGATGTGTTAAATCATGGTTTGCTCATTACGGTTTACCAAATAAGCCAAAATTAGTGATTTGCAAATCCTAAAGTTGAGTTTATACCGGGGGTGTTAGTTAAACTCATGTCATCACAGCATCATCACGTGACGTATGATGACTTTTTTCTTTCGCTATACCGGGCATGGGCGTGGCCAGCATGTGACGCATCTGGCCCACGGGCCACAAGTTTGACAGCCCTGGTTTATACCATGTGCTTAAGCAAACCAATGACAAATAACCAATCTTTTCTAAATATATCCTCCAAATATACTAAATTTTAATAGTAATCTTAAAACTAATACTAATTAGTTTAATACTGATACTTTGACCATGATAAACATGAATTATAGGGTTTGAAATCTAATATTTTTGAGACCATTACATTTCCAGAGACTAGCCTATAAAATTACAAGGATGGTTCACCAGTGAATAATCAACATTAACCCAACAATCCAGATTATGGTTCATTAAGATTTGTAAAACAACTCATTAAGATTTGTAAAACATGCATACGGTGCAAACTGTAAACCTCCAACAATAGTTAATTCATTAACAAATCATTATTTAGTTCAATGGTGGTCTAGGTTTAGATGAAAGAAAAATGTCCTAAAGGGTCCAGAATACAAGAATAGCTACATATTAAAGAGCTAACAGAAAATAGGATAAAGAAAAGAAACACAGCCGAGAGAAAAGAGCATTTATGCACCTTACTGATAGCTCACAAAAGTCTGCATTCTACACAGCACTTAAAAATAATCCTTGGTTAGAAGCCATCAGGAAATACCAGAGTTGTATGATATACTGAAAAGTTGAAAAACATTCTAGAAGAAGGCAATGGCCAATCACTTTCAGAGCCATTGCCAAGATCAATTCAGAATTGTTTTCACATTGCTACCAGCAGATCATCTTCACTTTTTAAATAACCAGTCAAAATCTAGCTGCAGACTAAATCATACTGTAGTAGGCAAAGCTTTGTTGGAAAAAAAAACATTGTGTTTTTAAATGTTTTCCTTTCAGGCCTTTTATTCCCGGGGCTCACATCCTTGCCCTAAAATTTTTTTGGAAGGCTACCTGATAGCCTTATCAAGGAACTCAAACCAGGCCAGCTGCTGATTCAGGGTTAATTTCTTTTCCAGTTGCAGATAACTTAGCTAGAATATTTTCTATACTTACTTATCAGCCTTATGGATGAAGGTCAGAAGGACCAGGGTTGTAACATTTTAGTAATGAACCAACCTTCTGGGAGGACTGTCCTCTACCAGACTGGTGAATGGTTGCTCATTGCCTATTACTGGCTAATGATCACACCCTTTGCTTTCCAAAAGTGTATTAAAGGTATGCCAATTGGTATATTGGAGGTTCTTGATTACAGAATAAACAGATTGCAATTCCCTGCCTTTTCTGATACTTGGCTACTTCACACCAGGGAAAAATAACATCAGCATTTGGCTGGGCCAATTCATGATTTGGCTATCAATGCTGACAGAAGATGGTCTTTCTTTATGTGTATAATTCATCTATTTGGATTATTTTAAAACTGTATATGGAACCTAAGCTTAAAGTATTTTTAGTTATGTGACTAATAAAATGAACACTTTCACCGCAGCTAGGTAACTATCAGAATGTAACATTTTGGTGCCTCCTTTGTGTGAAAAATGTGTTAGGCTCTCTCAGTAATATAAGGTTAATTATACAACTGATCAAGTGAAGTCAAGGTCTGAAAACAAAACATTTGTCCAAGGCCTACAAAACAAGTGAATGGATTTATTCAACTTACAGATGTATAAAACGTTTATATGAAAGAAGACAATAAATGTTAGGGATGCTAGCTCTATACTTCAGATTTTGTTGTTGTTGTTTAAACTTTGGTATAGAGTAGGTTTAAGGTCTGCATGGCTTTTAGTATCTACTCCTGCTAGTTAGACTAATCTTCAACTCATTATCAATCTGCTATTAAATTCCACACCCAAAAGCTGCTTATAGATCAGTCTAGCATTTAAATAAACTTCATCTTAGTGGCTACATAGGTTTGATGGTTTGAAACCTTTAGGTTAACATTGTGATCTTAATATTAGTTAACTACCTGGGTATAAGCCTACATAGATGAGAACAGGGGTGGGATTCAAATTTCTTGACAACCGGTTCTGTGGGTGTGGCCTAATTTGTGGGTGTGGCTTGGTGGTCATGTGACTGGGTAGGCATGGCTTGCTGACTGGGCATTGCTTGGTGGTCATGTGACTGGATGGGCATGGCTTGTATGTAAATATTATAAATATTTATGTAAATATTGATTTTTTTTAATAAAAAAGAGCAACTTTTACCCAAAATCTGGCAGGCAGATTGAGTTGCTCACAGAATTACAGATTCACTTAGAGATCTATCTTTCTGCAATTGGCTACCTGAGTCTCTCACATAAAATTTGCTAGCAAGCAAACTCACAAAATTAACTCACAACACACCATGTATGTAAATATTGAATTTTTGATCAAAAAAGAGCAACTTTTATCCAAAAGCAGGCAAAGCAGGCAGGCAGATTGAGTTGCTCACAGAATTACAGATTCGCTTAGAGATCTATCTATCTGCAATTGTCTACTTGAGTCTGCACTGAAAAGCAGAAGCTTCAGTCCTAAGGAAGGTTCGGCTCTGCTCTTAGATTAGCTACAAAGCAAGAAATCCAAGGATTTCCTGCTTTCTAGCTAATCTAAATCTCCCGGCAGAGCAGAACAGCTGATGGTCGGGGGGGAAAAAAGGAAAAATAGCCACTTACCAAACCAGGCAAGTTGGATGGCTTGCATGCCAGGTAAGGAGTGAGTGGGCAGGGAGGGGAGGGGCCAGCCAGTGGAATGATTTGCCGGTTCTGCGAACTGCGGACAATCATAACATGCATATGTGCAGTATTTGCAAGAAATCATCAGCTGGGCCACCTCAACACCTGATAAGCGCTGCGCGGGGGTGTACAGCGTTTGAAAATCCTCGTTTCCTGCTTTTTCAACCACAGCTGTGCCACGCAAAGCAGTTGAGGAGGGAAAAGCAGGGAATAAAGGACAGCCTAGAGCCCGGGCAGGCGGGTGGGCCAAACACCGACCCGGTTCGGTGTCAGCTGCTCTTTGCAGCTACCAGTTCTATAGAACCAGGCTGATCCGGTAGCATCCCAGCCTTGGATGAGAACTAGACTAAGAAAATAGGAAAGGGTACTTCAAGCCATGATTAATTCTGTGCATAACTCAATTATAACAAATAAATACCGGTAGTCAAAGATCCACTTTGTACTAGAAGAAACTGGAGAAAACATACACTTTCTTCTCTTCGGCTTTCTTCACAGAGATTCTAACGTACAGCTCTTCTCTAACTCATATTGCTATTCAATTCTTAAGTAATTAAGTGAAAAATACCATCTCAGCTTTGCAAGTCAAATACAATTCAGTATTCAGCCTTAGTAATTTTATACTTTTCAAGATTTATCTGCATATTTAATAATGCATGTAGAAATATTTATGTCCCACTTTATAGACACATGTTAAATACACTGTTTAGTATATGTTCGCTAAGATTAAATTAAACAAACCAAGTTATGATTTGTCATCATTTGTGAAGCCAGCCTATATTGGAGATAATGTATCACTAAGATCCACATAAAACTCTGAAAAAATTCAGTGGAAAATTTAGAAAATCTGAAATACAGCAAATATTTTCTCACAAATTTCTATATAACGGAATCACTCTCAGTCCTGGTATTACTTCTGTGGGCATTTATGTCAAGTAATACCAAAAGTAACATTAGTAAGTCTGCACCCACCTAAAAATATGTACTTTTGAAAGGGAAATACGCTGTTGGGGTTCTTATCAAATATATTACTTATAAATGTCCACAGCTGTAGACTATTACAACTGTAGTATTAACCTCTGAATAACATCTGGATGCATCTGCATACAAAAACAGGACAAATTTACATGCTCCTGTTTTTCCTAAAAGACAGAAATGGCAACCTCAAGATGTCTAACGCTTGTTTCCAGAGTGTTTTTCTTGATTATTTCTTCATTGTTGTAGAAACTAAAACTTACTGGGCCAAATCTCAAGCTAAGCAGTGTAAATATTTCCTAATTTTGGCATTGATTTACAGCTTTAGGACTCTTGAGGTTTGGTGTGTCTGTATTCAATCCCAATTTATGAAGTAATCTTTTTGTTTCAACCATGCTTTGTACATGCTTCTGTGAGATTTTATGACGTTCCTGCAGCTGTTCTTAAAACTATCCCCTCTTCCTTGCAAGAGGAATGGTTCTCTCCAAAAGCTGATTTAAGAATACACTTTCTGCAAGAAAGTTTTATAATTGCCTTACATTTTAGAAGTCCATTACTTGTCTCTTGGCATTATAATTTTTGGCACTTTAAAACAAGTTGGCTCTCCAGACAAAATAAGGCATGCAAGTAAATAAGAAATTCTTGATGGCATAATGCCCTTACGTGGGAAAACTAAGCCCATTTATTCATTAGAAATGAATGAATGATGATTTGAGTTTCTCAGGTTTTATGCCAATGAAGAAGTTACATATGAAGCACTCCATTTTCTGTACTTTGGAAAACCTACCCAATTTCAAGGCAAGAATGTTGCTGGCTGAGACATAGTGGCATTATAATACATTTGCAAGCTTTTCCTTTCTCTGCAGACCAAAATTATCACTTGAATGATTTACAGTGCATTTCTTGTTTCAAGCATGTAAATAGGGTCCTTTCAACTGGTTGCAATAATCCCTCTTCAGTAATTACCCAAAAGCTCTTTATTATGTTCTGTATAATTGCCACTTTATAAACCAGTTTCTCCTTTTAAAAATCTTTTGGCTGGAAATTTTCAAACATAGCATCATTAACAGCCAATTATTCTTGGTATTAGGGAAACCTAAAGTGTAAAAAGATACTTGAGGTAGAGAACACATGAGGAACATATAAAAAATTAAGAGAGAATTACTGTGCAATGCTTCTTTTATGAAGTCTATTTGCATCTTTCAATCTTTAAAAAAGTAGCCTTTCATCTATATTAGGTTGAGGATTCTCAAAATGTTTTGACTATCCCTATGAATTTTTTTAAAAAATCTGACCATTACAAGAAACCATTATAAGGACTGTTTAAAACTCAGCTTTAATAATTTGATTTGCAGTCTGATTCACTTTCAAGAGACTAAAGTCCTCAAATACAGGAGTTGGTACTCACACGTCAATCTATTTATCAAAAGTAGGGAAGGAAACAGCTACTAGCATGCATTTCATCCATCTTACGTTTCTGCAGTGTCACTCATTTTAAATAACTAGGAATCCTATAAAAATCAAACTGGTAATATATCTACCATAGGCTATGATTCCTTCTCCAAGCTGATAAATAAAAGAGCATGAAAGGCAGCCTTCTCTGGGTAGATATTGCACCAATGCTTGGGTGATAGGTCTTGCCTCAACGGCATCAAGATGAGGAAGACTGAGGCAAAGTAAATGCCAGAGCGGGATGGACAACCCTCTTCTTCACTTTAGTGACTCATAGAATCAACGGAAAAAAACCTGCCCAATTTCTGTCGGGATGTCTAGATGCGGAGGTGCCCCCTATGAGCAAAAGATGGGGGGGGGGGGAGTCACCTGAGTGCTCTATTAAAGCGGAATTTTCTTCATTAAATAGATTGTGCCAGGAGCAACTTGGCGGCTACCTGGATGAGGAGAAGCGTTGGAGCGTCCCCTAGCGGAATCCCGCCGAACCCCCTTTTCGCTGCTCGGCGGTGTAGGAGAGGAGCCTCATGGCTTCTCCGCAGGTAGCCTCCACTTGGCGCACCTGCTCCCGGCTGAGCCGCTCCCGCCAGGCGTGGAGGGCTTCCCGCGCATCGCGGGCGGAGATGAGGAAGGGGCGCTCCGAGGAGTAGGCGGCCCCGTGGGTCATGTTGAAGGCGAAGGCCTCGAGGGCGGGCAGCGCGGGAAGGTCTGCGAAACGCAGCAAGCGGCGCAACTGGGAGCGCGGCTCCAGCACCAGGTCCTCGTAGCGCACTTGCGTGTACCGGCGGCGTAGCCAGGCGGGGGCCCGGCGGGAGAAGATCAAGTCACGCAGCCAGGCCTGGCAGATCACCTCCAGGGCGCCGCTCAGGAAGAATTCGGCTCGGTGCTGCGGGTGTGTCCGGACGGCTCCACCGCCGAGCCCGGCGATGGCCGCGGCTGCTGCGGGCGGGACCTGCCGGCGGGGCAGTCCTCGGAATTCGGCGTGATACCTGCTGCGCAGCACCTGAATGCTCTCCCGGAGCAGCGCCTGTTTGGCCTTGAGCCGAGAATTATGGACGGCGCGGGGGTCGCGGAAAAGCTGGATGACGTGCAGGTTGAGGTCCGGGTCCCGCAGCAGCGGCAGGAGGGCCCCCAACTCCAGCAGCCTCACGTCCTTGATCACCATCACCGGGTACTTTCGGCACTCGGCTTCCAGCTCTCGCAGAGGACGCGGAGGGCAGCTCCGCTCGCAGGAGGCGCCGTCGACGAGGCCCACGTCCGCGCGGGCCCGGGCCGCGTGGGGACAAAAAGGATCCGAGCAGATCACCTTGTTGGTCCGCCACCCGAAAATACTCGCCGTGCTTAGGTTGCCGCTCCCGCTGCCCGACTTGGGCCCCAAGGAGGCGGGCAAGGGGATGAGTGGGTCGCGGCCGGCCGGCGGCGTCGCGTAAAGGCGCAGGACCGAGAAGTCGCAGCGGAAGAGAGAGCGCATCATGTCCCGGAGGGCGCCCTGGAGGCTCAGCGCGTCTCCGGGATAGAGCGCTTGCCACAAGTGCCACATGGGCTCGTACAGGTAGAAGACATCCGGGTGTTGATTGAACAGTTCTCCCAGGAAAGACGAGCCGGTGCGCCAAGTGGCGTGCAAATAGATGTGCCGCTTCCCGCCCGCTCTGCTCCCCGGGCTGGGCTCCCTCCCGGTCGCGTTCCCGTCCTCAGCCTCTCCCGCCGCCGGTGGGAGTGGCGGCGGCGGCGGCGGCGGCTCTTCCCAGCCCCAGTCGCCGAGCGCCTCCTCCAGGCTGGGGCAGCGGTGGGGCAACTCCTCGCCCGCGCGCCCCCTTCTGGCTCGATAATCCAGCGTGTAAGACACGAGCAGCAGGAGCAGCAGCGTGTAGGCGGCTAAGCTCAGAGCAAATCGCCGGTGGAGCTGCCACCGCCACCTCCACCGCCGCCGGCTCTTCATGGCTCCCTCAGAACCACGCCTGAAGGAGGCTGCCCTCCCCGCCGCTGTCGCCCGCTTCAAAAACAAGCTCAAACTTGAGGTAGGCGGAGGGGAAGCAGGGAGGTGGTGGCCACTGCTGCAGCGGCCGCCTTCCCGACGTAGAAACACGCCCCCAGATGCCGGCAAGAGGGTGCAAGCGGTCGCCAGCCCGCCGTTCCTTCAGCTCCGCGCTGCTTCGGGGTGATGCCAACGCATCCCGTCCTTCTGAGCGCCGGGAAGGTTAAGGCTAGTCTCTTGTGGCGATTATTGGGGGAGCGGGGAGGCTGTCGGAGTGGCGTTATCCCAGGCAGCCTGTATTTGCATAGGATGAAGTTGAGTGACAGTCCCCTCCGCAGTCAATAACCTCACAAATCTAAATGCAAATTAAGGAACTTAAGTTAAAACGAGGTTTTCTTTATTTATGGTTAAAGCACTCAGGACTTGCAGTTATCTCCCCTTGCCCTGGAGATAAGGATAAATACTGAGAAAAACAGAAGGGTATCTTCGTTTGGCCACGTAAAGCTAAATAGAGAATTATGAGAATTTTTTTTTAAATCAATTTAGATTTTTAAAAGTAACATTTGTCAGCATTCTGAATTGTACTTGGAAATGCATTAATAACAGCCATAAAGTATATATACAATGAGAAGGGAGGATTATCTTTTGGGGAAGAGGATATGTCACTCCTGATATACTTTTTCTACACACAAGTGTTTGCAAGCATATGAGCATGATATGTAGGTACACTCACACAGAGGGAACAATTAGGCTTTAAGACTCAAGTGACAATAATGGAGATAATTTTAAAGGCTTGATTTTGATTTTTTTAGGGCTTCTAAAGTAGATATAATGTAATTAGTTCTCTACTACTTTGTAGCAGCCCTTCTTTAAAACTCCTTCCATGTGGGCTTTTTAAAACTTCACAGTAATGCAGAAGATCAATTTTTCAAGAAAGATAGCACTGGTTAGCTCTTATAGCACCCTTTATGAGGGTGTAAAACAGTGTCCATTAAACACAATCAATCTTATTTAAGGAGTCTTTCTCAATGATTGGCCGTGGATTGAAGATGCTCAAGGGAAGAGGAGCTCAAATTTGTGAGCTCAATGGATGGAAACCTTCAAGGCTGCAGATGCCAAAGACACCATTAAACTATTTAATAAAAGTCTGGCAAATATATTGACTTACATAACATCCTACATCAAAATGAGTGCGTGTGTGTCCGTGGGGTGCAATTGGTGGCTTCTTTGTTGTCTAAATCAGCCAATGTGATTTATAAATCATGCTTTTCCCCTTAGTTATGAAAATTACTATTGGATGTTTTTAGTTACTTTTTCAAGTCCCCTTTAACTGCTTATAGAGGGCTTTAAAAGCACTGTGAAGCGGTATATAAGTCTAAGTGCTATTGCTATTATCTTACAGTAACCCAATATGGATGTAACTAAAGCGCAAGTAATTAACCAGATGAATCATCTATAGATGCTTGCTAAAAACTGAAACAGTGTATTTCTTACTGCTGCTATGATTTGAGAAATTCATGTAATGAAGGTCAAAAGTATTCCAGAGCTATGAGCCTTGTTTTCTAAGCAAAATACTAGATATCATTTAGTATTAGAACTTTTAATCTTATGGGCCAAGAATATTCTGTCTAGTTTATATGATGTGTCAGTTTGGCCATAATAAACTATTATGAAACAAGATAGAATGTGCTTCTCTGCTGAGCCATAGTTACTACCAATATAGTAAACACCCTGAATGTTGGAATTTGACTCCCCTAATGAACATTAATTGGAGTAAAAGATCTAAATGCATTCACTCAACTATTTACAGCAGGAAAAAAATCAAGATAAGAATCTGTGCTGCAACTACTTGTGATCTCTTTGTTTCCTGATGTAAAAGAGATGAATTCAGGAGACCAACGGATCACAAGTAGCTGCAGCACAGATTCATATCTTGAAAATGTACAGGAATGAAAACATTTACATTCTGTTTAATACTGAATGAATTTAATACTTTGTATTACTTTGAGCTTACACAGAATAAGTTCTGGCCCTTTTAAAATATACAGGAACTTTGGGAAGGTTGTATATGTGTCCTGCTAACCGTTATGTAAATACCATAGTTGCCTTTTCTGCTCATTGGAAAGGTGCTTTTTTTTTCTTCAAAAGGCAGCTGGACTGTTTTTTCCTTGCGGAAGAAGAAGTTTCCTTTCAATGAGAGGAGAAACTTTTCTTCTTCTTCCTCAAGGAAAAAACAGTCCAGCTGCCTTTTGAAGAAAAAAAAAAACACCTTTGAGACAACTATGACTTGGATGACTGAGAATCTCCAGAAACTTTTCTTCTCTTGTGATTTAAAAGCCATAACACGTGCATTTGTTAGTTTCAATTTGATAAACTATGGCTATTTTCCGATCATCTTCAAAGCCAAAATATGCCAATATGTTGCAGCTGAATACTCATCTGCCCAGAGAAGCCTCTTTTAGTACTTGCTCAGAATACTCCCCCATCCAATTTTAATACTTCAAAGACTTAAGTTTAAAAATAATCAAATGAAATATTTTTATTCACCAGCATTTACAGCAGAATAAAAGAAATAATTTAATAAACATTTGTTATCAGGAAAAAAATAAGACAACAAAATAACATCTAATTAAATATTTTCACAATTGTATAACTTGATGAAAATATTTGGCCATCTGGTTTGTGAGTGTAGAATCAGCATCAAAAAGCAATAATTAAAAATAATTGAAAATGCAGCATGCTGCAAATCATCTTTACTGACTTTACAAGAATAATTCCAGGTTTTATACAAGCCCCTTTAGGAAAAAAAAAAGGTGGTAGCAGTCAAGTGTTTTGTTTGGAAGGTCCCTATCTTCCCAGTGCCCAATAAAAACAGCATTTTCATCAGCATAAAGAGACAGCAGAGAACAATCTCACCACCAATTTGTAGTCTTGTAAGTATTGGTTGTGATTACCATCAAAGCCATTTCACAAATAGGCAACACTTCCATGGTAGCCATCTTGAAATTAGTGCCCATAACATGCTTTCAAAATTTTAGAAGTGCTCACTTATCTAAAATAATTGTTCACTGCTGTCTTAAAGATAGATACACTAATCTAGCTCACAGAAAACTTCATATAAGAACTCTCGCACTGGCAAAAGGTGAAACCTGCATAGAATATAGATATATTTATTTAGTACAAAATGAAAGGATATATACCGTTCATAGTCTGATAGTTGCTAGTTTGTTTTTTTCCCTTTTCCATTATTACCATTAATCATCTTTATTTGCTAACGTATATTCTTATGTCTTGTTAAATTGCTATTTGGCTAACTTGGCATTTGAAAGTCAATGAATGCATCCAATGTGACAGCAGAAGTGCTGAAAAGAGGAAAGATTGTGTGGCTAACAGCAGATTTCTTTTTTAACAATTGTTTTATCTTCTCTTTCTCTTTGCAACACCTCTTTAAATGTCACTTTGATTCTTTCCATTTAGGTTGCATAAGGGGTTTTTTTTAAGAACAAAAAGGTCAATCAATGGTGTGTGGGAGTGGTGCTCCTCTTAATACTCACAGGTGCTTCTCCTGTTTTATGAAACAGACTGCTAGTATTCTTCTCAAAATGCTTAACATATTAAGATACAATGCCGAGTTTAGAATTGATTCTTGCTTCTAACAAAGTACTATGTGTCAAATGTTCCAGAATCACAATAAGTTATTTATATCATTAGTGTAATATGTTCTCAAAATATAATACAATAGGGAACCTCCAACCCAAAGGCACCAAATTTTGCCCATCATGCCAGACCATCAGCCCCACCTTCTCCCCACAGTGTGTATAAACAATGGTGTGTGGGGGCAGGAAGGCAGGAGGCTCCTGTGCTGCTGGGCCTACCTGGCCAAGGACTTCTTGCTTGCAGTAGATTTCTTAGAGGTGCAGTGGTTAGAATGCAGTATTGCAGGCCAGGAGTTTAATTCTGACCGGCTCAAGGTTGACTCAGCCTTCCATCCTTCCAAGGTCAGTAAAATGAGGATTTAGATTGTTGGAGGCAGTATGCTGATATGTTTTCAATTACTTAGAGAGGGCTGTAAAGCATGAAGAAGCAGTATATAAGTCTGCTATTGCTATGTCAACCTCCTGGTGGGCGTTGGGGTCTCCCAAAGACTCCCCCAACCTCTGAGGCACCCCTGCATGGTTGCTTAAATGACTGCAATGGGGAGAGCTGGGATTGGGTCATTGAGCAAGGCAACCAAATGTCAATTACACCCTATGACCAAAATTCTGACCTCAATTGTGATAATAACTTGAGGACTACCTGTAGGAGTGAACAATAGCTGTTTCAGGTAAAAACTAATAAGATAAACATGTGCCACGATGGTATGGGTGAATCCGTTTCTTGGTCATCCTTGTATTACATGAGTGCTGTGTTATTTTATCTTGTTTCTGTTATTTTTATTTTTGGTTGATTTTTTAAATTACGCTTTTATTCTGTTTTTAACTGTTAGCTGCTAGGAATCATGTATACGAGATGGATAGCCATATAAAATAAATAAAATAATATTTTCCCTTCCAAAAGTCTTTTATTATTTAAATCAGGAAATTGGAGGTATTAAAAGGATTATATTTTCAAATATAGAGGTCAACTGGTATTCATTTCTATCAGCAGTCTTATAAACAACATCCTAAAAAAAAAAAGGACTTCAGAACTTAATCTAATTCTTTTTGGCATTTTTGTTATACTCTTAAATTTAGTTTAGTTCTTCAACAGCAAATTGTTTTCTGCTTATTCTTTCTTTCCCACATTTGCCTAATATGCAGCATAAGTAGAAACTCTATTTGAAAACTTGTTATTATTTTCTGAAATGTTTATTGAAACATTAAATTATTACAAAACTGAAAACTAATGAATCTTAAGGCCAATAGAGGAACAGGTCTTTGAATCAAATAGTCCTATTTTGGAAATCTTTTTTAATCACTGTCCTCCTGACTAAATAATTCATAATGGTTACAAATAAAA